TAGAAGGTTGGTTAATTATATATAAAAAAAGAAAGGGGTATTAGGGGAACGAGGGGAGGTGAGTGGTCTTTCTGTGGCCGAGAATAGGAAGGCGGGATGGATAAGGGTTGGTTCTTTTATGTGTGTGTGTGTGTGGGCGTGGCGTTTTGGTGAAGCAAGGATGGGAGTGTCTTTTTTTGGACGTGTGGGTGGGCGTTTTGGTGAAGCAAGGATGAGTGTCTTTTTTTGGACGTGTGTGTGTGGGGGGGGGCGTTTTGGTGAAGCAAGGACGGTTTTTTTTACGTGTGTGTGTGTGAGTGTGTGTGTGTGTGTGTGGGTGTGTGTGTGCGTTTCAGTGATGCAAGGGCGGCGTCTTGTTACGAGGACTATATCCAATGCGAGCGGGATCTCTGTTGATATATGTATTTATAAACGAGCAGGAAATAGCAAAAGAATACGAGAAAAAGAGAGAAAGAAATATATGCACACATACATCATCACACACACACACACACACACACACACACACACACACAAACGCACGGGAATGTGTGTAATCCGGTGTATGTGTGTTTATACCCTATCCTTATTAAATATATAATTAACCCTGGATGAATATAACCAAATGCTGACCCACAAATGCTAACTGGGTATCCGCACACAACCACACGCACAAACACACACGCACGGGTATGTGTGTAAGGCCGGATATGTGTGTCTGAACCCCACCATATCCCGTATAAAATTTCCCCTGGATAAATATAACCAAACGTTCACCCACAAATGCTAACTGGGTACCCAAATACCTACCCACACCCACCCACCCACCCACCACCACATCACACACACCACCACACCCACACCCACCCACCCATCCACACACACACACACCCATCCACCCACCCACCCACCCACCCACCCACACACACACACCACCACACACACACACACACACACCACACCCACTCACACCCACACCCACACCCACCCATCCACCCACCCACCCACACACACACACAGATACACGACCTCACACCCGTCCGCAAAACACACACACTTCTTACCCCCAACATTTCGCTCATGCTAAAAATTTGTCACTTGGTTTAATGAGCTGTTTGAACACGGCTGATTTTCTGAGTTCAAGGTCATAATTACTCCATTAGCATCGCTGTTGGAAGGGCCATGTCGCACTGGCTTGGCTAATGATGAGGCTAAATTCCGCTAATCGTCTTGGGTCACCTCAGGTCAACGGGGGGTCACACAATCAACAAGAGAAGATCGCGGTACAGTGTTTATATTTGGTATTAAATATTCTTAAAACTGCAATAAGTTTCTAAAAAAATAATAGAGCATAGTCCGATATTGATAAAATATCACAGCAATGTAATCACTAAATAACTAAATATAAAAGCTGGTGGGAAATGAGGTCACTTTGACCCAGCTTGACCTGATGTACAGATAGGAGTGACGCAGGTCATTAGCAGACGAGGGGTCATTCACTAAACAAATGACCATTGATGCGTTAACTAACAGATCATCGCATATAATTAATTCACAATTTACACTAATAAATCAATAATCAATCATTAGTTATCATACTAATATTATCTATCTACCTATCACTATTATCTATCAACTTATCTATCTATTTATAGAGGGAAGCTAACCGTAACCTCAGATTCCGAACCGAGATTTCCCTTGGCTGTGACCTTGCTAAACGTCGCCAGCAGAGGTCAGGGGCGAGCTGACACTTGACCCCGGGTTCCTAACGCGGTCACTCAGATGGGGTCTCAGGTCACGATGGCACTGTGCGAATGCCGCGTATTGACGGGTGGGGGGGGGGTCGAGGGGTCGAGGGGAGGGAATGAGTGCCAATGAGTGCCACTAATAGGTTTTTCTTTTTTATTATTTTCTTTTAATCTTTATTAATATTTTCATTATTTTTCTTATTAATGTTTTTCTTCTATATTTTCTTCTTAATGTTTTTCTTTTATATTTTCTTATTAATGTTTCTCTTTTATTTTTCCTTAATGTTTCTCTTTTATAATACTATCTCCTACAGTGATATGTATACGTTCATATAACTATTTCAGTAACGCAAAACATCATCCTGTCGCCCAGGACATATCCCTATCGTCATCGAATTCAGTAACACCATCACCATTACTAACCTACACCATCAGCAGCACCATAATCCGTCTACATCATCACCAGAACTCCTACATTGTTATCGCCACCACCATAGACTCCTACATTGTTATCACCACCACCATTATCTTCATCATCACCATAATTACCTACACCATTATCACCACCATAATCATCAACACCATCATTATCAATATTCATTATATTCAAAACCTATAACATCACCAAAAACATTATCCCAGAAAAGCACAGAGAGAGAGAGAGAGAGAGAGAGAGAGAGAGAGAGAGAGAGAGAGAGAGAGAGAGAGAGAGAGAGAGAGAGAGAGAGAGAGAGAGAGAGAGAGAGAGAGAGAGAGAGAGAGAGAAGAGAGAGAGAGAGAGAGAGAGAGAGAGAGAGAGAGAGAGAGAGAGAGAGAGAGAGAGAGAGAGAGAGAGAGAGAGAGAGAGAGAGAGAGAGAGAGAGAGAGAGAGAGAGAGAGAGAGAGAGAGAGAGAGAGAGAGAGAGAGAGCGAGAGATAGATACAGAGAGAGGAAGGGAGGGAGGGAGAGAGAGAGGGAAAGACCCTTTCACAGCTGACTGAGATTTCCCTCTTTCTTGTAAGAATGTCAAGCCAGGTCAATCCATCAACCCGTGACAGCTCTTCAACCCCTAAAGTCACGTGACCTCGTACTTGACAAAGAAAGGGGTGTCTATACATAACACATCTTTCCTCATCTCTGTGTGTGTGTTTGTTATGTGTGTGTGTGTGGAGGGGTAGTATGGAATGTGTGTGTGTGTATGTGTGTGGAGGGGTATATGTGTTTGAGTGTGTGGAGGGGTTATGTGTGTGTTTTGCTTGTGTGTTTGTGTGTGTGGAGGGGGTATGTTGTTTGTGAGAGAGGGTATGTGTGTTTGTGTGTGTGTGGAGGGGGTATGTGTGTGTTTGTGTGTGTGGAGGGGGTATATGTGTTTGAGTGTGTGGAGGGGTTATGTGTGTGTGTGTGGAGGGGGTATCTGTGTTTTTTGTTTGTGTGTGTGCGTGTGTTTGAGTTTGTCCGTGTGCGTGTTGGCTTGTGTGTTTCGCCGTAATGGTGCGTGTAAAAGTGGAATTGCTACTAAATGCGCTTATAGGTCACTTTTCCGAATTTCTTTCTTGAATTATTTTGCACACACACACACACACACACACACACACACACACACACACGGACGCACGCACACACACACACACACACACACACAGAATACAGAATCGAGACTTCATTCCTTGAGAATCTCCGCCATCTTTGTGTCACTCTCTTATAAACGAAAGTCTACACCCTAAAAGAAGAAGAAGAAAGAAAGGAAAAAAGTAAGAAAGAAAATAAATAAAAGAAAAGAAGAAGAAGAAAGAAAGAGAGGAAGAAAAGAAACGAAACGAAAAGAAAAGAAAAGAAGAAAGAAAGGGGAAAAAATAACAAAATAAAAAAGAAAAAAAATAAAGAAGAAAAGAAAAAAAAAAGAAAAATGAAAATAAAAAAGAAGAGAGAAAAACAGGACGGTTTCTATCGCATGCAAATCACCCAAAGATCACACTCGGAGTAGGGTGACAAGAGGGCCAAGTGTGTCAGTGTGACAAGTGGGCCGACCTGTTCCCACTTGCACCTGATCGTTGGCACTCTGACCTTACCTGACCCCGTGGCGGCACCCAGGTCACGGTTAGTGAATGACCGCTGGCCGGAGTGGTATAAGGTCATCCACCTACGACCTTGGGGACTTTTGAAAATTTAATTCATTTTATTTCTTATAGTTTTGGAAATAATTAAAAAAAAATATTAGTTTGTGATATCTTGACCTCGTCTTTTGAGCTCTAAGGAGTTATTGTACATGCGGGGACACGGCTAAGGGCAAAGCAGGTCATAGCAGGTCGCGGAGGGGTGTCATTCGTGACGTGGTGACATGAAACGGGAGATGGGCAGGTCGACAGGGCAGCGGGGGGAGGGGGGGGGGATGGGGCGGGGAAGAGGAGACGGCCTGTGTGCCTCCTTGGTTTTTGTGTGTGCGCCCCGACCCACGTGGCAACCCTTTGTCTTGGGGAAACTGTCTTTCTCTCTGTGAGCAGTTCCTCGTGTAACGCAAACACGCACACACACACAACGCAAACACCGAAACACAACACACACGCACACACCAAACACACACACACGAATACACACACACACGAAATACACATACGCACACATATACACACACACGCACACATACACAGCACACACACACACAGCACACACGGAACACACACACGCACACATATACACCTCACTCACACACACACAGCACACACCGAATTACACACAAACACACACACACACATACACCCGACCCCCCCCCCTCCACACATACCCACACACACACACATATATATATATTATATACATGTGTATATTATCCAAGCTTGTACAGTGCTACCGGCGTCGGCCTCTCACCCGAGGGTCCGGCGGTTGGCGTCCCTCCCAGGCGCGAGAAATTGCAACTGTCGCCCGAAGGTTAGCGCTGTGCTACTCGGTGGGCAAGGACTAAGCCCCGTCGAGCCATGAATAACCAGCGGCAAGATCAAGTTATGGTAATCTTGAGAAATAATAACCATTTGTTGGTTATTTCCGTTTTATTTCAGTCATTTAGATCGTTTTTCCTTTCGTCGTCAAGCCGCTGTTGGTTATTATCACCGTAGTATATGAATAAAAAAATAATCCACGGATCTAAACATACCCACAACGATTTGAAAAAAAATATCAACCCAACAAAAACAACACAAACAACCAAAACAAATCCCTAATAAAACAAACAAAAACAAAAACAACAAACGCAAAATCAAACCCCCCAAAAAAAAAAAAAAAAGCGCAACGCCACTCACGGTCTGGGCGCGGGGTTGCGATCCCTCTGGCGGCGATTCTTGAACCAGTTGGACACCTGCGTCAGAGTGAGGCCCGTCTGCTTCGCCAGGCTCCGCTTCTCGTCTGGCGTCGGGTACCGGTTCTGCTTGTAGCACTCCTTGAGGGCGACTCGAGACTTCTCCTTGAAGCAGTAGATGGTCTCCTCGCCGTCCCAGATCGTCTTGGGCAGCGGGTATTTCTTCCGGATGCGGTACTTGTCCACGGCTCCTGCAGAAGGCGGGGCAGAAGGGGGGGGGAGGAGGAGAATGGATTAGGACGTGGATAATTTACTTATTTTACATCTGTCTGTCTATTTATCCGTCTCTGTCTTTTGTTTATATAAATGTTTATCTATCTATTAGTCTGTCTATCCATCTAAACCGAGAAGAAGATATAATAATAATAATAATGATCATTATGGTGATGCTAGTGATAACGATGGTAATGATGATTATAATAATATTCAGTGTCATGACAATAACATTGATAATGATAATTATAATGTTAGTAATAATAATAATAATAACGAAAATAGCATTAATGATAGTAATAATATTGATAACATTACTATTTCTACTACTACTGCTGCTACTAATGAAAATAGCAATGAAAATAAAAATAACTGATATTAATAATGATTAATATCTTATACTATATAGTACATTGTTATTATGAGAGAGAGAGAGAGAGAGAGAGAGAGAGAGAGAGAGAGAGAGAGAGAGAGAGAGAGAGAGAGAGAGAGAGAGAGAGAGAGAGAGAGAGAGAGAGAGAGAATTCTTGCGCTTCCACTGCAAAAACGTATACACACACACGCACACACACACACACACACACACACACACACACACACACACACACACACACACACACACCAACACATATATATATATATATATATATATATATATATACATACATACATACATACATATATATATATATATATATATATATATATATATATATATATATATATATATATATATATATATATATATATATATATATATATACACATATATGCACATGCATATGTATATTTATATGTTACATATATATACAAATACGTATATATACATATGTTACATTTCAACTGCATTCTCGTTTTTATACAAGGAATGATTAACATTTAGCTTTTAATGTCTGCCATATCCATTCACACGAATAACACCTTGCAAATAAAGATCACATTTACAAAATTAACAGAGAAAAATTAGATGGAATGAATATAAAATCTCACATTAAAAGATACATATTTGAAAATTATGTAAATAATCTTTGGTAATAACGTTTCGTAATCTGATGAACAGTCGTTTTTTTTGTTATTTCACATCCTGTTCATAGATATCGTTTAACGAATTGAGTAGGAACTTATATTCTATTTATTTTTTATTTAATTAATGTGAAAAATGAGGAGAAGGAAGGAGGGGTAAGAAGGGGAAAATTAGGGGAAGGAAAGGGAGTAGAGGGGAAGAAAGGGGAAATAAAGGGGTAAGAAGAGGGAAAAGGAGGATATCATACGTCGATTTATCAATTTATCAATTAATCTTTCTTTAATATGGTTATTACATATACATTCATTTAAGTAATTCAAGTTAAGTGGGTTTTCCATTTTATTAATTTACCAAACAATCTGTCTAGTATATATATTATTTACATATACATTCATTTAAGTAATTCAAGTTTAGCTTATAATTTTTTCCGATAAATTCATCTATTAATTAATTCATCTAATCATTTGGCTAATTACCTATCCATCAATCTATCTATTACACAAGTTGAGTGCATTTTCCAATAAAATCATTTCCACGATCACTTCGATTTAGAAAAAAAACTATTAACGGATTCGAATAAATGCAAAATTACGTGATAATCATGTGATAATAAACTGCAACAACATAAAATAATCAACTCGTTGCGAGAAGAAGTGCAGAGAGAAAGAAGGAAGAGAAGAGAAAGGAGGAAGAGGAAGGAGGACAGCCAATGGAGAGAAAGAAGGAAGAGAAGAGAAAGGAGGAAGAGGAAGGAGGACAGCCAATGGAGAGAAAGAAGAAGAGAAGAGAAAGGAGAAGAGGAAGGAGGACAGCCAATGGAGAGAAAGAAGGAAGAGAAGAGAAAGGAGGAAGAGGAAGGAGGACAGCCAATGGAGAGAAAGAAGGAAGAGAAGAGAAAGGAGGAAGAGGAAGGAGGACAGCCAATGGAGAGAAAGAAGGAAGAGAAGATAAAGGAGGAAGGAGGAAGTGTGTATTTTGCAATTGTTAGAACTCGGAAAAGCGTCACTGATATCGATTCAAATCTATTCAAATTCATCAAATTTTATGACTGTTAATCGGCAAAATATTCCTGTGCTCTAAAATGCATTATTCTTACTCTAATACTGATGGAAATTTGAAATATGATGCAAAGTTGAAATCATGATCAGCAAAGTATCTGTTATTCAAAAAAAGAAAAAAAAAGAAAAAAAAGGAATTATCAAAACAAAACAAAGCAAAAAAAAGCAAAAACAGAATGATAAAAAAAACGCATTTGCATGATTCATCGACACAAAGACAATTATATCAATAAAACACAATAATAATTTCTTACGTATTATACGGTCACAATAACTGATTATTTTAAAAATGAAAAATTTAGTATACGGCTAATTTTTATAGCTGACAGTGATAGATGGACTAAGAATACATATAAATATGCAATTCTAAAGAAACAAAGAAAACAAAGAAAAAAATGAATCAATAAATACAAACAAATGCAAACAAGAAAAGACCTAAAGAAAATAGATAAACACAACAAACAAAATCAAACAAACAAGAAAATAAATAAAGACACAAACAAAATAATCAACGAAACAAGAAAATAAACAAAGAGAACCCCAAACAAAACCAAACAAACACAGACCCAAACCAAGAAACCAACCAACCAAACAAACAAACACCAAAAAAAAGATAACATAATCAAACCACAGACATTCATACACTAATGAAGAGATCCTTAGACACACCGCAGCTGTCACGGGGGCAAGATAAGGCGATAATATGATGGCAGGAAGATAACACGCGCTAATGACCTGTTTGCGGAGGTCACGTGATAAGAGGTCGGATTTCCCTCGGACTGTTGGGGGTTGTGGCGAGGGGGGAGAGGGGGAAGGGGAAATGAGGGGGGAGAAAGGTGATGAGGGGGAAATGAGGGGGGAAGGGGAAGGGGGAAAAGGGAAAATGAGGGGGAAGAAAGGGTGAGATGAGGGGAAAATGAGGGGGGGGGAAGGGTGATGAGGGAAAATGGGAAGGGGAAAATGAAGGGGGGGAAGGAAGGGGGGATGAGGGAAAATTAGGGAGAAGGGAAGGGAAAATGAAGGAGGAGGGGGTATGAGGGGAAAATGAGGAGGAGGAAGGGAGATGAGGGGAAGGGGAGGGAGATGAGGGAAACATGGAATGTGGGGAAATGAGAGGGGGAAGGGGGATGAGGGGAAAATGAAGGGGAAGGAAGGGAGATGAGGGAAACATGAGGGGGAGGAAGGGGAAAATGAGGGGGAAGGAACTGGAAAATGAGGGAGAAGGAAGGGGGATGAGGGAAAAAGGAGGGGGAAGGAAGGGGAAAATGAGAAGGGGGAAAATATGGAAATGAGAGGGAAGGAAGGGGGTAAGAAGAGGGAAACTGAAGGGAAAGAAAGGGGATGAGAGGGAAGGAAGGGTAAAATGAAGAGAAAGGGGATGAGGGGAAAATGAGTAGAAGGAAGGGGGTAAGAAGGGGGAAAATTTGGGAAAGGAAGAAGAAAATGAAGGAAAATGAATGGAAGGAAAGGGGGGTAAGAAGGGGAAAATTAGTGGAAGGAAAGGGAGTTGAGAGGAAGAAAGGGGAAATGAGGGGAAAGAAGAGGGAAAACGAGGGGAAAGGAAGGGGGGGAATGAGGGGAAACGAAGGAGAAAGAATGAGAGATGAGTAGGAAAGCGAAAGAAAGTGAAAATGAGGGGAAGGAGGATGGGAAACAAGGGGAAAAAAGGAAGGAGGGGAAACTCAGGGAGGAATGGAAGAAAATAGAAGGAGGTGAAGGAAAATGAGGGAAATAAAGGGAGAAAGTGAGAGGGGAAAAAAGGGAATGAGGGAAACAAGGAGAGAAAGAAGGAATAAGTGAAACTAAAAACAAAGGGGAAAAGAGAAATGCGGGGGAGGAAAGAGAGGAGAAAGAAAGGTATGGAAGACAACAAGGAAGAGGAAGGAGAAAGTGAAGCGAAAGAAGCGTATGAGGGGGAAAGAGAAAGTGAGGAGAAAGAAGAGGAAATGGGAGAATAAAGCAAGGAAATAAGAAGGAATGGGAGAACCGCGAACACAGGGAGAGAGAAAAGAGAAGAAGGAAGAATAAATAAAATAAATAATAGATAAATAATGAGAAAAGGGAAAAGAAAAATAGATGACAGGAAAAGTAATAAAAAGAGATGGAGAGAAGTGATAGGAGAAAATAATAATGAAAAGATAATGAGAAGTAAACTAAAAAATGAAATGACATGAAAAAAAATAAAAAGAGGGGAAAGCGAGAAAGAAATTTGAACTTTGAAAAGGAAATTAAAGAAAGGGAGAAAGAAAAGCAGATAATGAGAAACGAAGGATTGGAGGAAATGAGATGATGTGCGCGTACTTGTGTGTGTGTGTGTGTGTGTGTGTGTGTGTGTGTGTGTGTGTGTGTGTGTGTGTGTGTGTGTGTGTGTGTGTGCGTGTGTGTGTGTGTGTGTGTGTGTGTGTGTGTGTGTGTGTGTGTGTGTGTGTGTGTGTGTGTGTGTGTGAGTTGTGTGTGTGTGTGTGTGTGTGTGTGTGTGTGTGTGTATGTGTGTGGTGCGTGTGTGTGTGTTTGTTTGTGTGTTTACGTATGCGTATGCGTGTGCAAGTGCGTGTGTGTGTGACTATGTGTGTGTGGACGTACGTGAATACATCTATACACGTGTAAGTGATGCAGTAATGACAATGATTTGATACATCAAAACGTTGAATATTCATAACAATCTAAAAAGCAACCCACTTACAGACAAAATTCATTCACGTGAATATTAATTATAAACATTGCAATTAATCTAATGTAATCTGATTTAATATTGCTCTATTTGCATATATCTAAAATTATCATTACTAGAATTACTATTACTGTTATCATTTTTATTGTTAATATTTTTACTCTCATTGTAATAATAACAATTATTATTATCATTATTATCATTACCATTAATATTGTTATTACTACTATTATTACTATCATTATTATTATTATCATAATCATTGTTCTCATCATTACTATCATTATTGCTGTTGTTACGATTTTCATTATTATCATTATTACTATTATAATCATAATCATTATTGTCATTATCATTATTATTGTCATCATTATTATCATTATTGCCATCATTATTATCATTATTGCCAACATCATTATCATTATTACCATCATTATTATCATTATTGCCATCATTATCATCATTAGCACTATTATCGTAATTACTGAAAAAATACTATAATTTTTTTTTAAAATTTTGCACCATTAATATTGTCATTGCTATGATGATAATCATAATGATACTACAACTACAACTGATAACAGTAATAATAATAATAATAATGATGACAATAATAAAGATGCAAATAATAAAATAATAACAACAATGATAATGATTATAATAATATTACTCCACAACAATGATGACAATGAAAATCGTAACAACAGCAATAATAATAATAATGATAGTAATAATAACAATATTCATAATAATAATGGTAATTATAATAATAATGATAATAATAATAATAATGATAATAATAATAATAATAATAATAATAATAATAATAATAATAATAATAATAATAATAATAATAACAATGATAATACAAAACAACGAGAATAATAACAATAATAATGATGATTATAGTGATAACAATAATGATAATGGTGATAATAACGGTAACAATAATAAAAAATAATGACGATAAAAAAATAAAAGTAATAATAATAATGATAATGGTGATGATGAAAATGATGATAATAACAATAATAACAATAATGATAATAATAATAATAATAATAATAATATAATAATAATAATAGCAATAATAATAATAATAATAACAACAAAAGTAATACTACTAATAATTATCATAACAACAGCAGTAACAAAAACAGCAGTAATAATAATGCTAATAATCATGATTATAATAACAGAAAAAATAATAACATCAATATCAATAACAACGACAACAACAACAATAACAATGATGATGATAATATAGTAATAATACATGTAAATACAAGTGTTATACTAACTACAAAACCGTTACCAACATATGCGCGAACATCACTATTTTTATTAATGACATTCAAATTAAAATCAAGAGTACTAATGATTCTGACATCGATGCTAATACTGACATTAACGATGATATCACTGGGATTATGATATTAATCTTATCATAACCGTCAACAAATCAGTTGCAATAAAAATTACTATTAGCATTACTGTGGCAATGGTATCCCTAATACCATTAATACCATTATCAACATTATTGAGATTGTCGTATTAAAAAATCAAAATGATGTTAATTATAATACACTATGTTATTATCAGTACCACTGTTATCACCATTATCATCAATATTATTATTGTTATTACCATTATCATCACTATTGTTATTACTTCCATTACTACCGTTACTGTCACTATTACTGTTGTAATCATTATCAGCATAACCATTATCGTTGTCATCATGAATATATATTTTTTTGTTATTACTAGTATTATTATGAAAAAGACATGACTTGTACCTAAAATAACGTGATAAAGATATAAGAACGGTGAAGGTGCAACAGGTTACTGCCAGAACGTACAAGAGAAAATCCAAAAAGGCGCGTAAGTAGTTCAGGAATAAAACAGATTAACGAAGAAAAGGAATCGGAAGTAGGAGAAACAAGATAACGCAATGTCTCAAGAGAAAGATGGGAAGGATAACAGTGGGAGGAGAGGAAACCGTGAAGACTAACCGAGCGGGCGCTGTCTGATCTTCTCGGCCTCCTTGTAGTGCGCGCGGTACCACATGTTCTGCATCTCCGTGTGGTACTTGGACGTGAAGCTGTTGGTCTCCAGGATGCTGTAGACTTCCTTGAACGTCCCTCTGTGGAAGGCCACGGACGCCTTGGCTCTGAGGATCACCTCCGACGGCCGGGAGACCTCGGCGTGCAGCGGGAGGATGGAGAGGAACCTCCCGAGGCGCTCCATGTCCCCCGCCTGAAGGAGGGTCTCGCACACGCAGTCGATCTGCTCGGGGCTGAACTGCAGGATGCCTTTGCTCTGGAGGACGCTCGAGCTCTCGGGCGGCGCGGAGGAGGAGGCGGACGACGACGACGACGACGACGAGGAAGGGCCTGTGTTCACGCCCGCGGGGGCATCGGCGTCTCGGGCCATGATGGGCGCGGCGGCGGTGAGGGCGGTGGGCGTCGCTGGGGC